AGTCTTCTTCCTTCAAGTATCTGAATGGTCCACGTCCTTTTTTCAGGAGTTTGTTCAATGTCACTTTCCAGTGACAGCTTTAAAAATGAATGCACACTCCCTCAGTACTGGAGCTCCTTATCTCTCTTCTCTGCTTTGTTTTTCTCATCAGCATTTATCATCATTTCGTATGCATTATTGTTTTCTTGTTTCATGTCTTTCTCCCCACCCTAAAATGGAATCACCATGAGGACAGGGACATCTGTCTGTCCTGATTTCTACTGTATTACTAGCACTTAGAATTGTGCCTGGAATATTCAGTAACAAACTCAGTAAATACATATTGAATGAATGAATGCACTTGTGTGGGTTGTGTTTGAATTCTAGAATAAAGGGAGTGAGGAGAAATGGATGAAGATGAAATCTGGGAGTTGAAAAGCTTTCCAGAAATTCCTACCAGATTTCCTCTTACCTCTTCTTAGCCAAAACCATGTAGCATGGCCATTCATGGCTACAAGAATCTGGGGATTTGACTATCCTTACCTGGGTACACTGCTCTCCTGAAAACAGTTATTGTTTTTCTTTTTTTTTTTGGGGGGGGGGGTTGATGTTGTGCTGGGGATATTGAACCCAGGCCCTTGCTTGTGTGAGGCAAGTGCTCCAAAACTGAGCTACATGCCCAGTCCTGGAAACTATCCCTTAAGTAAGAATGGACATCGGAGAGACAACTGATGGTGTCTATCACATGGGTTTACCTTACACTTAATGAGACAGAATCTCAGGGTGAGCACTTCAGTGCAGGTCATCCTCTGAACACACTGGAAGAAAAATGGCCAGGGGAATGGAATGAGCCCAGAGGAAGATTTCTTTTTTTTTTTCTTTTGGTGGTACCAGGGTTTGTATGCAAGGGCCTCACCATGCTTGCTAGGCAGGAGATTGGGCACTTGAGCCACACCTGCAGCCTCTAAAATTTTCTTACACTATCCTGGGTGATGGACACAGTGATCAAGAATAACTTTTGTAAGCCAGGTGCTGGTGGCTCATGATTGTAATCCTAGTTACTCAGGAGGCAGAGATTAGGAGGATCTCGGTTGGAAGCCAGCCTGGGCAAATAATTCGAGAGATCCTATCTTGAAAAAAACCCATCACAAAAAAAGGGCTGGGGGAATGGCGCAACATGTAGACCCTGAGTTCAAGCCCAAATACTGCAGAAAAAAGAGTATCTTTTGTGATGGCACCCAGAGCCCACCCCATTCTCACCCTCACCCTTTTACAGTGTTGGAGATCACACCCAGATCCGCACATGCTGAGGGTGGGTGCTACCATTGAGTCACCCTTCCAGCTCCGCCCCCATCTTTTGAGACTGCCACCACCCATTCCCGTGTTCACAACAGTGGGACTCAGAGCTAACCTTACTTACATATCCGGTCTTCGGAGTCAGAGTACCCTTCCTGCATTGGGACTGAGAGTCTCTGTCTCTCTGGGTGTCTGGACCGTGTCAACAGGGAGCAGCTAGCAGAAGTATTTTCTACATGACTTGGAGAAGCTGAGAAAGAGCAAGGACCCCACACAGAAAGAGTGATGAGCCAGAGGGGACTTTGTGCTGCTTGAGTTACTGTACTGAGGCAGGCCTCTGGATCCTGATTTTACTCAGGCCAGTTTCAGTGAATCTTTTTTTTTTTCTTCTTGGTGGCACTGGGGTTTGAACTCAGGGCCTCAAGCTTACACAGCAAGGAGATCTACCACTTGAGCCACCACTCCAGACTAATAAGTGACTCTTGATCAGATACTCAGTCTTGGAGGAAAGGTGAGACATGGCAGTTTCCTTATCCACAAAGACCCATATTTTTTTTAGTTTTTTGCAATATTGGGATTTGAACTCAGGGCCTACACCTTAAGCCACTCCACTAGCCACTCAAAAAAAACATAGGTTTTTTTTGAGATAGGTTCTCATGGAACTATTTGCCCGGGCTGGCTTCAAATTGTGATCCTCCTGATCTCTGCTTCCTGAGTAGCTAGGATTACAGGTATGAGCCACTGGCGCCCAGCTGTATGTTTGATTTTTTGCAGTAACTTCTTCCCTTCCTTTCCTTCTTTCCTTTCTTCCTTTTTAAGACATGGTCTTGCTATGTGACCCAGACTGGCCTCAAACTCTTGATCTTCCTGCCTCAGCCCCCTGAGTACTGGGATTATAGGCAGGCACCGTTATGCCTGGCATTAATCTTGCCTCAGACCCTAGTACTGGGACTACAGGCTTGCAGTGTTACACCTGGCATTAACAGTAACTACTTTTCATTTTCTTTAAGACCCCATACTGCAGGGAGCTAAGTCTTTTAGGTTTTTTTGTTTGTTTGTTTGTATTGTGGAGCTGGGGTTGGAACCCAGGGCCTCAGGTATGGTAAGTAAGTGTGCTATCACCCCAGCCCAGAAGTTAGTGTTTTATCTGAATTCAGCACCTCCATATGCCAGGCACATCTGTGCATTAGTTTCTGCTCTAATCCCTCCTGGCTAGTAACTGGAGGGACAGCAGGGGGTGTGACATCAACAGCTAATATGGACACTACCTAGGCAGCCCTGAAATTTGCTAATAGCTCAGAATTAACTGGGTGGGGAGTGCCAGTCTAGAACAGCTGCTGCCACAGCCCTGGCACAGACTTCCCACAGGACCCTGGAAGCTACCCCTCAGCCCTACTGGGCAGACAGATTATCTATCTATCTATCTATCTATCTATCTATCTATCCATCATCTATGTCTATCTTTCTATCTATTTATCCATCTATGTCTATCTTTCTATCTATCTATCTATCTACCTAGGCCCAGGGCCTTGTGTATGCTAGGTGAGCACTCCTCAGCTGAGCTAAACCCGAAGCAGGGACAGAAATCCCTTTACTGAGCAGCCAGTCCTTTTCCAATGTGCCAATAACAGCAGCCAGCCTCATTCTCTCCCTTTCTCTCTTTCACTTTCTTTTTTTTTTGGTGGGGGGGGGCATGGGACTGGGGTTTGAACTCAGTCTTTGAGCTTGCAAAGCAGGTGCTCTACCATTTGAGCCTCACCTCTGGTCCAATTTGCTTGGTTATTTTGGAGAGGGGGGTCTCAAGAACTGTTTGCACGGGCTTGCCTCAAACTAAGATCTTCCCCATCTCAGCTTCCCAAGTATGGCCTCATAAATACTCTTGAAGCCCTACTAGAAAAAGCAAGAGGAGTGAGAAGGGAGGAAATGAAAAGGGGAGTTTGAGTAGGCAGAGACGAAGGAAAGAGAAGCAGGCAAGCGACTCCGCAACTGTACTCATTCCTTTATTGACTGTGTTCATTTGACCAAGGCTGGGGCCTGCAGGCGGCTGACAGCACCGAGCTGCAATGCACCCTGCTCAACAGACAGGCCTCCATCCTAAGCCCAGGGGACAGAGGGTAATGTTTTATATATATATATTTATATATTACATATGTCCTGTATTGTCATATGTATAGAGTGACAAGAATGGACCACTGCATTAACTGCTGTCCTAAATAAAGACCATAGCGACAGACATGGAAATTTGGTCCTAATGAAGGTCCTTACTTTGTCAGTCAAATGTCTGATACATCAAAAGGAAAAGGAGAGAGAGAGAGAAACTGAGATGTAGCCACTCCCAGTGGCCCTGTTCCCAGCACATCTTAAGTTGAGTGTAGTGTCCCCCAGACAGGTAAACACTCACACACAAACACACACACATACACACTTACACCAAACTGCAGGCAGGAGCTCCTCCTCTGACCACACGTTGGGCCCAGCCCTTAGACTGGGGGTGGTGAAGTGAGGCCTATTGTGCTATAAGACTGTGACGGACAAGTGACCAGACAATGCAAAGTTTATGTGTCCAAGTGATAAATGAGGCAATACATGCTTCTTCATCCACAAATGGCAAAGAGGTCAGTGGGAGAGGTCGTTCACTGGAGGTCCCTCAATGCCCAGGCCACCTGGGGAATTTCTACACACAACTTCTATCCCAGCCACAGCTGAATCTCTGATCTGAATCCTGAGTGTGAAGTAATCTCTTGGGCTCTCATGAAAACTGTGATTTCCTTGAAGGACAGGAACAAATGGCAACCGAGTGGCTCAACTATCTAGTCCAGTAATTACAGCAGAAAAGACAGAAATAAGAGATCCTCAGGGAAGAACTCAAATGGTGCAAGAAGGGCTTCTTTCCTGAAGGGAAGAAAATATCCCCACCGCCACATGCCACACATGAAACTTCAGGCAGATCTGTCAGTCTCATGCTTTACCCCAGTAATGGCCCTGCTCACAGTCTAGGGACAGCTGACTCTCACTACCAGTGCATCTGAAGTCCTAACTCACTTCTTTACTTCTTCACCCTCTGCCAAAATATACAGCTCAAAAATTAAGTCAATGTATTTGATGTTTCAAGCCTTAGGGTTAGAAAATTTCCCAATTTTTCCAATATATAATTTAAACACTTAACATAACTAACTATTAAATGTTTACAGCAGAAGTTATAATTCCTTCTGAAAGAAATCTGTGTGTTTATCAATATCTTTTGAGTAGATACAAGGCCTGAAAAAAAGATAGACATATGATCAGGGGTATATTTCCTAGAGATATATCAGGAAAGTATTTTAGGGAAGCAATCAATCCAGTATAACTGGATTTTAACTTAAATTTCACTTTTTCTTGTGTGTGTGTGTGTGTGTGTGTGTGTGTGTGTGTGTGTGTGTGTGTGACTGGGGCTTGAACTCAGGGCCTACACCTTGAGCCACTCCACCAGCCCATTTTTTGTGATGGGTTTTTCATGGACTATTTGCCCGGGCTGGCTTTGAACTGTGATTCCCCTTATCTCTGCCTCCTGAGTAGGTAGGATTACAGTCATGAGCCACAGGTGCCCGGCTCAAATTTCACTCCTAATATAAGGGGACTTACAATTTTGTGGGATCACCTATGTGCAAAGACATTTTAAAAATAAAAGATGACAGTTTTGTCTTGCATGTAAAAAAGTCAATGAAAATTAACCATATATATATATATATAAATTTACTTATCACCTGCAATACCTGGAGACATTTGGGGCTGTCACAAAGAAAGGTGAAGAGGGATCAGTTTGCACAAGTAGTAAAGAATGGACCAGTTCTCAACAAAAGTGCCCCCAAAACATGACTGAGAAACAGGAGCAGTAGGCAAAGCTGATGAAGATTCTGCCTGGGTCTCTGTTTCCTGTGATAAATGATGGGGAAGCAACAGATTTTGATACCTTCATTTAGCTGGGGGACAGATGATACTGATTACTCCCACTAGGAACTGAGGTCAGCAGCTGCAAGGGACCGTAATCAAAGCACATTGAGAAGCCACATCTCAAAAACGGGAAGCAGGTTTGATGGCTTGTTGACCAAAGCAACTTCTCAAAGAGAACAGAAACAAAGGGACCCAGAGGAGGAATTCCCTGATGACAGTCCACGTTGTCTCAGTGCTGTTCCGTTGCCTGTGGGTCCCAATGCAGCAACCACTGGTTGGTTCACGAGTCCCATCCCCGGGTTGGAAAGGTGGACGGGAAGCAGTTTGGGAGGCTGTGAGGTCTGGCCAAAGCTGCAGAGCACGGGCTGAGTGTTGTGAGGCCTTTGAGGTCTTTGAAAAGAGCCCAAGAAGCCCAAGGAGGTCGTCTGGGGCCCAGACAGTGGAAAGCAGGGCTCTGTCCACCGGGAGCATAGGCCCAACACTGTCCTCAGGATGCTTCTTGTCCTCAGTGGATACCTGGCAGTTTTCTAGTCCCAAAAAGTGTGTGGGGCTGCTCACTGTCAGGGTCGGAGGAGATGGGAACCATGGAATGGGATGGGTAGAAAAAGCACTGTGTTCTCAGGCACTGACCGCCTTCCCTTCCAGGGACAGCTGACATGGGGAGAAGCTTGAGGGCTGGCTGGGGCCCCCAGTTAGGAGAAAAAGAGGCTACGCAGTGACTCACGCAGCTCAGGCCAGAGCATCTCCCACACTCACTGAGCTCCACGAATAAATAAGATGAATTAAATAAAGGAGGCGCAGAAGAGCGGGCAGGGCACCGTCTGCCAGGTCTCCCCCCTCCACACACGCACACGCACTGCACACGCACACGCACCAAGCGGCGGATGAGACGAGCCAGGGCTGGCTGCCCGTCCCAGGAGTCTGTCGGATGGGCAGCCTGTGAAGGTTGTCACTCATGGTCCACTATTGTCGTGGGGTGGAGAGGAGCAGAGGCCACCGAGGCATGTGTGGTAGAGGGTGGAGTCCGTTGAGGACTCTGGCACCTGCAGGGTGAGGACAAGGTGGGGAAGGAAGGGGGTTAGAGACATGCAGGAGACAAGAATGACATCTTTCCTTTCCCTCCCCACAGCGCCTTTGGGTACAAAAAAAACCCTGTGTGGCCTCCACCATCCTGTGCTGTTTCCCTGCCTCCATGTTCAGTGCTCACTCTGATGGGGGGGACTGACCAGGATCTGGACTTCCGGACTTTAGATGTGGAAGGTCTTTCCAGAAAGCTGTCCAGCCGCATGAGCCTCTCCATGTGTAATGCACGAGGGTCTTGGTCTTGGTCATGAGAGAATTCCATCTCAAAGACAGCTGGCGGTGACACGTCCAACTCCAGAAACATTATATTTTCAGCCTGGGGTGAAATCACGTCAGTTGTGAGCAGTGACCTCAGTGACTGTACTGTCCAGGCACTCAGTCAATCCTGGGTGTCACGGTGATGGGAAACTTAGAGGAAGCACAGGCTGTGAGCACCCCCTCCCCTCAGTGCCCTCCCTGCTTCTGCTTCCCAACTTCTTACCCTGTACCTGGGGTGGGACCCCATGGCCATGGCAACCCGAGCATACTGGCTGATAGGCCTCTTGTAGCCCACTGCAGATGTTGGCCGCTTCTTCATTTGGCTGTTATTGCTGCAGGGAAGAGGCCATATTAGAATGGATTTCCATCAGACACCAAGGGCAAATGCTATCACAAGGAACGAAGTATCCCATCCTGCAGGTAGCCAATAGGCCTTGCAAACTGCAGCTTCTGCAATTTTGTTTCTCCTTGCTCCAATACAATCTGACAACTGAAACTATGAGGGTAATACAAAGGACCACATATTTCTTCTCTCTTGTTGCTCTTTTTATCCATAGTAAAAAAGGGCTGATTTTTCAGCTTTCCAATTCGCATACTGCCTTACACACTAAACAGTCATTGATGACTGTGGCTCCCATTTTCCTTCATGGGAGTTAGCACAATTAAATGATTTAAAGAAATAGGTTTGAAATGAGAAGAAACAAAAGTTAGAGGACTCATCAAGATATTGGAACTTGCCAGAAGCCCGTGGCTCACGCCTGTAATCCCAGCTACTCAGAAGGCAGAGATCAGGAGGATCACAGTTCAAAGCCACCTGAGGAAAATAGCTCGTGAGATCCTATCTCGAAAAACCCCATCACAAAAAAGGGCTGGTGGAGTGGCTCAAGATGTAGGATCTGAATTCAAACTCCAGTACCACAAAAAAAAAAAAAAAAAAAAAAGACTAGAACTCGCATAAGGAAGACACAGCTGAATGGAATAGGAGTGAGACACCAGAAGTCAGTTACATAACCAAGGTTAGCTAACTTCCCACAGGGACATCAACACACTCCAGTGGAGAGAATGACTTTTCAACAAATGGTGCAGGGCAACTGGATATGCATGTGCAAACAAATGAAATGGGATCCATCCGTACCCTACGCACCTTACATAGACACAAACTCAAAATGGATCACAGGCATGACTATAGGAGCAAAAACTGCACAGCTTTGTTTTTTTTAAAGACAGGGTCTTGCCTGGTTGCCCAGACTTGCCTTCAACTTGAGCTCCGCCTGCTTTAGTTTTCTTAGTTGCTGGGATTACAGGAATATGCCTGGTTAACAACTCTTAGAATAAAATATAAGAGCTAGTGTGATGACACACATCTGTAAACCCAGCACTCTGGAGGCTGAGGCAGGATGATCATGAATTCAAGGCCAGCCTGGGCTATATGGATATTTTTTTTCTTTTTGATGCTACTGGGGTTTGAACTCAGAGCCTCATGCTTGCAAGGCAGGGACTCTATCACTTGAGCCACTCTGCCAGCCCTCTGGACTATATAGCAAGACCCTGTCTCAAAAGACAAAAGCTAAACAAGAGAGTTACTATATAACCTAGTACTCCCACTGCTGCACACATACTGAAGAGAACTGAGACAAGTACACACAAAACCTTGCACGTGATGAACATAGCAGCATTGTTCACAATTGGCCAAAAGTAGAAATTGCTCTAATGCCTGTCACTTGATGAAGGGATAAACAAAATGTGGTATGCAATACTACTCATCAATAAAAAGAAGTGTAGCTGAGCATGGCAGTGCATGCCTGTAATCCCAGCACTCTGGAGGCAGAGGCCGGAGGATCCAGAGTTTCAGAATTTGAGGCCAAACCTGGGCTACATAGGGAATTCAGACCAGCCTGGGATACATAGTGAGGCCCTGTCTTAAAAAAAAAAAAAGGCTGGCAGAGTGAAGTGGCTTAATCTGTAGAGCACCTGTGTAGCAAGTCTGAGGCCCTGAGTTCAAGCCCCAGTATCACAAAAAAAAAAAAAAAAAAAGAGGACTGATACGTGACACAACATGGACAAAACATGAAAACATTCCATTAAGTGAAAGAAGCTGGTCACCACAGATCATTTATGTGACTCCATTTATGTGAAATGTCCGGACGGCAGATCCATACAGACAGTGGCCTGGTGGCTGTCTAGGACTGGGAAGATGGCAGACAATGAGACTGCTAATGGGTTTGATGTTTCTTTTCTTTTTTGGCAATACTGGGATTTGAACTCAGGTCCTCCTACTTACTAGGCAGGCACTCTACCACTTGAGCCACTCTGCCAGCCCTATTCATGTTGGTTATTTTTGGCATAGGGTCTTGCTTTACGCCCTGGCTGGCCTGGACCACACTCCTCCTGTTTGTGCTTCCCTGTGTAACTAGGATGACAGGCACGTGCTACTGTGCCCGGCCATTTGTTGAGATTAGGTCTCGTGAACTTTCTGCTCAAGATGACCCTGAACTACAATCCACCCAATCTTTGCCTCCTAGGTAGCTAAGATTACAGATGTGAGCTGCCACTCTCAGCTTTGAGGTTTCTTTTTGGAATGATGACCGTGTTCTGGAATTAGCAGAAACCCACTCAACTGTACTCTTTAAAATGGTGATTTTTATAATACATGAACTACATCTCAACAAAGCCATTATTTAAAAACAAACAGGCCAGGTGTGGTGGTTCACACCTATAATACCAGCTACTGGGAGACACAGGTAGAGAACTGCAGTCCAAAGCTGGCCCCAGACAAAAATCTCAAGATCCTATTTGAAAAGACAACTAAAGCAAAAAATGCTAGCAAAGAGGCTCAGTCTGCTAGGCAAGCATGAGGCCCTGAGTTCAAAACTCTAGTACCACCAAAAAAACCCCCAAAAACCTCTCAGACTTGGCTTTTAAAAAGTATATGTTCTTTGATCCAAATTCCCACTCATAGGAATTTCCCTAAGTAAATATGAGGAATGGAGACAAATGTTTGCTGAAGTATTATTTACAATTGGAAAAAAAAAGCAACTTTAATGTCCATTAATAGGGACCAGTTACATGAAAGAGTAGAAAATATGAGCTTTCCTTCCTTCCCTCCCTCCCTCCCTCTCTCCTTCCCTCCTGTCCTTTCCTTCTTTGTTTTGCTATTAAACAGCGCTGCTGCAAATATTCTGCATGTGCACTTTGGTGTACTTGTCAAACATTCTCCCCGGGGTATACGTCCAGGTTTGGAACTGGTGACTACAGGGTGTACGTGTTTTCTTCTTTGCTACGTACTGCGAAACTGCTTTTCAAGTGCCACAAGGATGAAAGCTTCCACTGCTCTATTTCCTTGTCAATTTATTCTATTTCCTGCAGGTCAAGCCAACCTCTTACCTGCCTCGCTTTTATTACCTAAACAAACAAACAATAAAAGAAATCAAGAAAGCTATTTCCATTTTTAAAACCAAAGAATATAGGCTTTGGAGTCAAGCAGACCTGGGTTTGAATGCTGGCTCTGCCCCTTGTATGTCTGTCACCTTGGGAAGTGACTTCCTATCTCTGAGCCTCTGACATGTCACCTATGTCATACAGAATTGCTGAGATTAAGCCAGACAAGCATTTAGCACAGTCAGCAGCTGTAATTATTACTAGTTCTCAATTTCATTTGCTAACTCAAGTAAGGATATGAATAAAATGAAACGAGCAATGAGAAATTCCAGAGGTGACATTGGAAGGCAGAGGGGAGAAGCAGGAAGAGTAATTCCCAGGCAGGATCCCCAGGTCAATGCCTGCCTCTGGGAGAAGTAACATTCCTGAGGTTCGGTTTATCATGCATACTGAACAGTGCTCTACCCCACTTTGGCGTCCCAGCTGAAGGCTCTGGAAGCCAGACTTCATTTCATTGCTGGGAAGCTAGGGGGAGGCCAGACACATGGCCTCAATGACAGTGGCAGCAAGGAGGAAGGTGTGCAAAGTAGGCTGGCAGACATGCATCAGAAGGCCACTAAGCAGGGCTGGAAGCATTAGGAAGATCACTGATCACTTGTAAGGGGCTTCTGCAAATCTCATTTGAATTTCACGACAAGCTCCTGAGGCGGACAGAGCAGAGGGGAGACAGGCTTAGAAAGGTGTGCCCTTTGATCCCAAGGTCATGCAGTTAAAGACCCCAGGGATTTGAATCTTCCTAAGAACTGTTTTTATGATGGTCTCTGAGGAGTGTACTAGAGACATCTGGGGCCAGAGAGTGCCTTTGAAAGCTCAGGCTCCAGGAAGAGGTCAGAGGGCAGGGGCAGGACAGAAGGCATGGCTGGGCAAGCAGAGCAGCAGGTCAGTGGAAACTAGGAGTCTGACCTTGGGAAGGTGCCAGGCCTATCCTGGGCAGCCTGTAGGGAAGGGGGTTGGGGGAAGGGAGTCTGTAATTGAGACACCAAACTTCCCATCAACCCCCTCTTCTGCCTCAGGCCTATTTTTATGATCGATCCTCTGGAGTAAGCAGGCTGTGGCCAACAACCAGGGGCTGAGGCCTAGCTCTGCAGTGATCTTCCCCTCCCAAAAGAGACCCACAGCTGGTTATGGGCTCCATAACTCTCTCCAGAACTGAGCATTAATGGAATTTTCCCCTTAAAAACTCATCCCTGAGTTGACACCATTCTTATTGCTGGTTTGTGTGTGATCACCCCTTCCTCTCTTGTTCCGAAGACAGACATCCAATGTCAATGCTGTGATTCCTCCCAGGTCCTCTGTGGGTGAATCAGACTTCTGGCCACTGCAGCTCACCTCCACTGCCCTGCTCCACCTCTGATTGCTCTTTCTTCTCCGAGCCCTCCATGCCTTCCTGTCTCTGCCAGGGAGGGCTGTAAATTATCTCGGTTTCAGATTCTTCTTCAATTCTCACAAGCCTATGGGAAGTCTGAAGGCTCCATGCACCAAGGTAAACATTGGCTCTGTGACAAAACTGGCTTAACATTCTTCCCTTCTATTGAGAATATGGAATGCTCTTTCCTTAAACTTAGAGGCATTCTGAATTTAAAAAGTCAAAATCTAGCCAGGCACCAATGGCTTGGGAGGCTGAGATTGAGAAGATCGAGGTTCCAGGCCAGTCCAGGCAAATAGTTGGCAAGACCCCAACTCCAAAATAACCACAGCAAAATGGACCGGCAGTGTGGTTCAAGTGGCAGAGCACCTGCTTTGCAAGTGCAAAGCCCTGAGTTCAAACCCCAGTTTCACCAAAAAAAAAAAAAAAAAAACCCAACAAAACAACCATGTCAAAATCTAAAACAAAAACAAAAACAACAAATCAGACTGCCCTTCTATGGCACTTGTGAGAGACAGAGACAGCCTGGTTTCCCTGGAGTTTCCATATTTATAATACTGGCTTATTAACTTATTAATATGATTACAAGTGTTTATCGATCATTGCTTCTATGCCAAGTTCAGGACTAGAACCATACATGGTTTCATTTCGACTCAACAATCCTGCAAGGAGCACGTTATTATCTCTGCTTTACAATGAAGAAAAGTGGCTTCAGAAAGGTAAAAACATTTCCTCAAAGCCAGGCATGGTAACACCTATAGTCCCAGTCTCTCAAGAGGCTGAAGCAGGAGGATCTCTTGACTTTGAGCCAGCCTGTATCAAAAACAAAACAGCTTTCTCCAGGCCACAAGTAAGTGGCAGAGCAGGGAATAGATTTTTAGAATGTCCTAAAGCCAAAGTCCAGTCTCCTCCAACTACTCCACATGGCTTTGCAAGGAATCTGTGGAGGCTGGGGTTGCAGAGGCCAAAGCGCTAAGTCACAACGGAATTTTGTGACCCATAAATCATGGACTATGGGCATTGCCAAATAGCTAACCCTTAGAAGACGATTTTCTATAAATACAATTTTAAAAAGTTTATTATGAGAAACTGAAAGGTCATATTTGTAAAACATTTACTGGTGGAATGAGTGACAAAAATGCTTTTTCAAGCCAGATGCTGGTGGTTCATGCCTGTAATCCTAGCTACTCAGGAGGCAGAGATCAGGAGGATTGTGGTTTGAAGCCAGCCAGGATTGGTGGATCGGCTCAAGCAGTAAGAGCACCTGCCTAGCAAGCATGAGACCCTGAGTTCTAGTCCCAGTGCCACCAAAAAAAAAAACAAAAGAAAGATAAAGAAAAAAAAAAATGAAGCCAGCCCAGGGAAATAGTTCAAGAAATCTTATCTTGAAAAAACCCATCACAAAAAAGGGCTGGTGGAGTGACTCAAGGTGTAGCTCCTGAGTTCAAACCCCAGTACTGCAAAAAAAAAAAAAATTTAATACAAAATCGTGATTGTGGAATAATCTCATCTGAGATTATTTGCTTCAATGGCTGGGTGCAGAGAGACAGGGAAGAAAAGGGAGAAAGGATAGACTTCCAAAATCAGTTGCCTGACAATACACTTTGTTTCAGAGCATCATAGGTGGGGTAGATGTTTGTGGCTCAAGTAGGAGGTGGGTAAATGTATTTCTAACAAAAGCTTTGTAAAGGGACAGCACCACCATCAGTCATCTCTTTCAAACAGTGCCTTTGCTCTCACTCCCAGTGGCCTTCATTGTTCTCATCTCTGGAAGACCATAGGCCACAGGCAGGCAAAGTATCCCCACTTGAACGGAGCAAGTGGAACAATGGCCTGATTAGTTAAATTTGCTTTGGAGAGCAAGAGCGTTTCTGTTTGCTTTTTAGCCCTGCTTTGTCTGGTTGCAGATGAGTCTGGTGCTGGAGGAGAGGGGGAGGCAGTTCCACAGCCTCAGAACTCAGGGCTCCTCGGTCAAGGGCTTTCCCTTGACCCTTCCCTTCAGCTGGGAAATGAGGAACTTGGGGCAGATGGTGTGAGAGATGCTGGCCAGCAACTCCTGCCATCCAAGTCTCTGGGGCCCCGACCACAGGTAGGGTTTCAATTGTGATGAATTATTTGACTTCATTCTAGCCACCACTGCTTTTAAAAAGTAAATTAAAAATGCTGTTTCATATAAAAATTCCTAGCTCCATTTTTATTTGTCTCTTGTCTTTTTGTTATTTTTTTAAACTTCTTAAAAAATACTAAATATTGCAAATTACAGTCACCAAACCAGACAATGACAAGACAAACAAAAAACTCATGTTTGGCAACTCATTTGGGTCCTCTCCCTCCTGTGGGAGCTTTGTCCTTTTGCTTAATAAACTTTTCTACCTTTAAAAAAACAAAAAAACCCTCAATTACCTAGTATTTTTCTTTCTTTCTTTTTTCTCTTCTTTTTTTTTTTTTTTTGGCAATTCTGGGGTTTGAACTGAGCCTTGTACGTGCTAGGCAAAGTGGTTTACTGCTTGAGACTCACCTCTTTCTTTTTTTGTAAGTTATTTCTACTCTAAATTATCTACTCTAAAAATTATTTAAAGTGTGCTTTGTTTTTGTTTTTTGAAGTCAGGGTTTCCACCATGCAACCCAGACTGACCTCGAACTCACAATCTTCTTGTCTCTGAATTCCAAGTGCTAAGATTACACTGGTGCACCGCCATGCCTGGCTTAAGATGTGCTATTTTAAGATAGCTAGATAGCTATTTTAGTTTCTAAACTCTGTAAATGTCTTTTCAACATATACAAATCATTTCATCTTTGAAAAAAAGAGAAAAACGTAGCTGGGCACCAGTGGCTCATGCCTGTAATCCTATCTACTGAGGAGGCAGAGATCAGTTTGAAGCCAGCCTGGGCAAAGAGTTTATGAGACTCTACCTTAAAAAATACACAAAAAAGAGCTGGTGGAGTGGTTCAAGGTGTAGGTCTTAAATTCAAACCCCAGTGGTGAAAAAAAAGTTCATATCCAAATGTTACCAGAAGCTACCACCAGATAGACATGTTTATTCTTTCAGTGTTCATCTAATTTTTCCATAATAGGCATGTGTTTAGCATGCCAGCGATCCTGGGTTCAATCCCTAATATTCCCTCCCCACAAATAAAACTAACATATTATGCTTGCAATTTGGGAGTTATTTAAAAGGCAGAAGTGATCAAAAGTTTTCTTTTTTCCTTTTAAGTAACTCCCAAATTGCAAACATAATATGTTTATTTTATCTCTGATTCTATCAGAGAACAATACAGTAAATTGAGTTTTGGACCTGGCATTGCAGTAGCTCCACAGACAGTGCATCCAAAAAAAAAAAAGTGAGAAAGTAAACTTTTGGAAAACACAAATAAAGAATGGAAGTTCTGGAGGTGTGGCCCAAAGTGGCGGAGTGCCTGCTTTGCAAGTGCAAAGCCCTGAGTTCAAACCCCAGTCCCAACAAAAACCAAAGATCATAATCACAGCTAATGTGTATAGACCACTTACTATGTGCGATGCGCTGTGCTAAACCTAAAAAACAAAAATGGAGATGTTCACGATCATTAAACAGGCAGCTCATCCTAGCTTCAAGTGAAGCACCCACCACACCTGAGTCCAGATCAGGTGCTTCAAGCAGACAAATCAGAATTTCAGGATCAAAGTTTTGAGCAATAAACAAACGTCTCTGAAGCATGAAACTACAAGACTCAAATCTAAACCCCTTCTTGGTTTAAATGCAATGCATGACCTCAGGGAAGGAGACTGCCAAAAAGACATAAATGGGAAATTGGGAAAAAACTGAATATTACCTATATAACAGAATTGTCTCAATATGATACATCCTCCCTGTTCTGTGGTTATGTAAAAGAATGTCCTCATTCTTAGCTAACAGGTAAATGGTCACGATATCTGCAACTTAATCTCAAATGACAGAGGGGAAATTAATACATTAAGATGTGGAAAAATTTTAGAAAAGATTTGGTGCAGGGAGTATGAGAATTCTTTGTACTATTCTTGGAATTCTTATGTTCCAAAATAAAAAGTTAAAAAACACAGGCCAGGCAATGATCAGGAGAATTGCAGTTCGAAGCCACCCAGGCAAATAGTTTGTGAGATCCTATCTTGAAAACCCATCATAAAAATAGGGCTGATGGAGTGGCTCAAGGTGTAGGCCCTGAGTTCAAGCCCCAGTACCACAAAAAACAAAACAAAACAACAACAAAAAAAAACCAAAGCACAGGCCTTCTCAAAGGCTCTCCTATCCCAACTGGAGCTGAGCACACTGATGACATGGTTATAATTTATGCGGACAAATTACCCCGCCTGCACACTTCCAACTCAAGAACTTCCCTAAGCACAAAAGAATCCTCCCAAGCAGGAGCCTTGCCTGTACCTGCCTCCAGAAAACAGTACTGCCTTAGTGGCTTTTGAGCTTGACTTCATTGCAGAATCACTTAGAACCTTTTCAGGAAAGCTACAAGTAAGTTCTGGGTTCTACCAAGATCCTTTAAATCAGACCCTTTGGAGCTAGGGGCAGGTTAGAGAACCTCAGCTTTAGACCTTGTACTACTGACTTGCATCCACTAACCAAAGTGACACCACCAAAACCACCTCTAACCTGGCACTGGTGGCTCACACCTGTTATCCTAGCTACTCAGGAGGCAGAGATCAGGAGGATTGAGTTTGGGAGACCCTATCTCGAAAACACGCATCACACAAAAGGGCTGGTGGAGTGGCTCAAGGTGCAGGCCCTGAGTTCAAGCCTCAGTATTGCAAAATAATAATAAATAAATAGATAGATAGATAAAACGACCTCTGGTCATGAATTTCCCACTTTCAACTTGTGTGGCATCCTTATGGGCAAGAAGCTGTATGTAGACCTCTAGCTAGCTTCCCACCCCAGCTCTGGAGAGACTCCTGCCCTACCTCAGCAGTAATATTCCTAGCATAGAGAGAGCCAAGAATCTCCAGGGAAGCACTGTCTCTTCACTGCTGAATACAGATTTGCAATGAAGGGACAGTGGTCCAACTGGGTGTGGCAGTCACTCTGTTGGACTTGAACAGGTGACCTTGTTCCTCATAGCCACCAGCAGAGGGTGCTACACACCAAGACAACGGAGGCAGCTGCACCGAAGGGCTAGGAGAGGGAGACAGGTGGAACTGCTGACTTGCCCACCTGGGCAAGGCTACGGAGACTGGGTCGTGCCTCCTCCATGTCATGATCTGATTACTTCTCTGTAGTTCCCCTGGACTGTGAGCTTGGACCCTGTGTGATTTACCTTCTGTCTGCAGTCTCACACAGTGTGGACACAGCGGAGCTTGGCAAACACAGTTCCTATTTCTGGCACCTGACAAATGAGTGTTTACCAAAAGTGGCCAGCTGTTAGCATCAAGAGGCAGAATGCTCCTCCCTGCCTCCTGTCCCCTCTTTCCAGGATGCTTTTGCATTTCAAGTCAGTGAAACTCTTCCACCACCCCACCCCCAACACCCTTCCTTCATGGAGACCCATACAAATACTGAAAAACCCACCCTCCATCTGCAATTCCCCAGGCGTTCTTCAGTCCCCACACACCTGCTTCCCCATAGGCAGGGCCCCAAGCCCCTCACTAGCCCCAACCTGGAGGGGGCTTAAAAGTCCCTAGGCCCAGACAACAGGCTAGAGACTCACACTCCAGCAGGCACCAGTGGCTGGAACTTCCACTGCTCCTCCTCACAGTCCAGAACGAGCCGGTTCATGATCTTATTCTTCTCCTCAGGGGGGATGAAGTTCTCAATGATTAGGTACCTGGGAGCAGGGATGAGGCAGAGATGGGGAACGGAAGGAGTGAGACCCTGTGGCATACACAACAGAGGAGATGGAAAAACCAAAATGGTGGAGGTGGGGATCCCTATAGAAAGAATGGAACTGGATGACCACTCTTTCTAATGCAAAGACTGTAGGCTCGGGACATTTCAGGTTACTTTTGACCAGCACCAGGCACCCACTTAGGGAGGGGTTCATCAAATTCAGGCCTAGGAGGTACAGAAAAAAGTCCAGAACTGGGCTCATCCCTCCTCCCTCAAACATGTTTTCTTCCTGAGACATGAGGACTTATGAGGGAGCGGTCAGAATGAGGCCTCCAGGGCAGAGGCCCTGATGAACGTGGGGAGGCTGGGGGACCCAGAACCGGAAGAGGCTGGCCCTACTTGAGCTTCAGTTCCCGGGTCTGTTCGTTCTGTGCCTCCTCCAGGTCCTGCCGCACACGGATGTACTCATCATGTTGGTCCTGGATCTCCGCCTTCACCGCCTGCAGCTTGGCGTAGAGCTGGGTGGAGATGGTTCAGCTCAGATGCTGCTCAATGTGCCAACAAAGCTGGGATCACCAGCCTGGACCCTGCGGGCTGCAGCTCAGGGTCCACAAACTCAGCACAGGATGAGGCTGGGATCCTGGCCTGAACTCGAGGTTGCTGCCCCACCTTCCTGAATCAGGATGGCTGTTCAACGTCTGCAATGTCCCCCTGAACTCACTCTCAGCTGTTGTTAGCATCATGCAATGTTCAAACTGGAAAGGACCTGAGGGACCTTTTAGTCCCATGCCCTTTTCTTATAAAAAGATGAGGAAGCAGAGGGACAGACTAGCTAAAAAGGCCCACAACTAATCAATAGAAGGTCCAAGGAGTGCGAGTGTGGCTCAAGTGTCAGAGCACCTGCCTAGTAAGCGTGAAGCCCTGAGTTCCAACGCCAGTATCACAAAAAAAAAAAAAGAAGAGTCAGAGCTGGACCCATGTCTCGTTTGGAGACCCAAGATGTAGGGTGAGGAGCCAAACAAGTTGAGAAGGTGACCATCCCACTCCTCCCTCTCCTGGGGCTCCCAAAAGTGATGGTGTGGAGGTCAGCCCTAATCCCTCTGTTTCACTCCTAACCCACTGAGTGTGTTCATGGCAACTGCCATGGTGGCTAGGCCTCTGCCTGGCCAGCTCTGGGACAGCCACACTGACAACCCTGGGGGCCCTTGGGGTTCTTCCCAAAATCTAAGCTAGAACTGCTGCTTCCTGCCCTAGGCACTCATCTCACGTGTTTTCCCGGATGGACTTCCCAAGATCCTGGTGACCAGATTCTTATCTCTTGACGTGGTGTGGAGGGTCTTGTGTTCCCTTCCTGGTTTTCCCCAGACATGAGTCTCCTTTTCAGGCCTCATCACAATCCCTGGCCCTTCTCCAGGGGCAACTATCAAAACTGTGACTCATAGCTGACAATGAAAGGGCAGGGAAATGACCCAGGACAATGAGGATGATGGTCCTGGGACTGGAAGGGACAATTTCTAGCCCGTGAGTCCCCCTGGCCCAGGAGGAAAGCTCTAATCCACCCTGAAACCAGTCCCCTGCCTTCCCACCGCTCCTCATGCCTCCGGCCCAGGTGACATAGCTCAGGACCCAGCAGCTCGTGCGAAGTGTGGAGGAGTCCTGGAGGCGTACCCCTGAGGTTCGTAGGCCCTCAGGGCACCTTGACCCACCTGCTGCAGCGCCTCACCTTCTTGAGCTTCTTGGTTTTGACCTCTACCTCCTGCTGCAGGGATGTGTAGGTGCCCCGGAGCTCCATGGTCTCCTCATCTCGGAGCATCATCTCCTGCTGCATCTCTCGCTCCCGGCGTTTCTAGGCCAAGGCAGGAGAAGGGCACTTCAATGGAAAGCCAAGGAGCCAATGGAGCTCAGAGGACTGGCTCATTCTGCCTGACATGGGACTTGTTTTCACCATAACCCTGGGTGCCAGGAGGGAGAAGGAGGCACCTGTGGCCCATGTCCACTGTTCCCATCCTATCCTAAGTGGAGCAATGGGTGCAGACCCCTTCTCTTAGCTCCTATGGCCATGCCTTTGCCAGGCACTCCCCTGTGTGAATGCCAGCCCTCACAGCTGACATATCCCAGGGGTACTACCCATATACACAGGCTTCCAAGCTGTCTCCCCCTTACCCCATGTAGCGTCACTGTTGGTTGGTAACCAACAAATTGTGGTTCTTAACAATTTAGGAAATAGTCATTCTATTGACCATGAACTCACATCCTTGTGGAAGGCCCAGGAGTTAGTACCAGGTACCTTTTGGAGGCTGACATCATGGACAACCACCACTTCCTCTCACGCACCAGCACACAATGCCCTTGCCAGAGGGAGGACCCTGGGCTGGTAGACCCATGGGACCCAGATGGCGCATCTTAGATCCTCAGCACTGTAATGCCCAGGATCCCAAAGCCATAATAGCCTTAAGGCCCCACTCCACCCCCCAGACATGACCTTGAGCCATGCACCCCAGGAGGACCTGAAGCCTGGCAGCCCTACCTGCTCAGCAATCTCCTGCCTCTTCAGTTCCAGCATCTTCTGCTGCTCGTTGGTGTGATCCATGATGTTCCTGCCACCAATGAGCAACTTGCTCTCCATGGCCTGGGGACACAGAGGGCTTCAGAGACAGGCTTTGCAAAGAACCCCAGAATGAGAGCTTTTGCTTTGTGTCCTAGATGGGGCCTGTGGCCCTCCATGAGAGTGGAGTTTTCCCCTCCAGCCTCTCCAGCCCCAGCACAAGGCTTCCATTGTTTTTTGGCGGCACTGGGGTTTGAACTCAGGGCCTCACACTTGCTAGGCAGGTGCTCTCCCATTTGAGCCACTCCACCAGCTCACAAGGCTCCCATTGTTGACAAGACCATTTGGAAGGCCAAGAGAGAGAATCCCTCAGGCAATATGGGGCACCTGATCTCTTTGCTTTGGATACAGAAGGAAGGTTGGTTTGCCATGCCTGCGAGGGTAGTTGGCGATCCAATCCTGGCAACCAGGCCCCAGCTGACTAGTCACTGGGCAGCCCAATCCTTGTGCTAAGTGGCTCCTGACTCAGGAAGACAGCTCACTCACCACATGGGCAGCAGAAAGAGTCTAATCTTTGGCGGACATGGAAACCCAAGGGAGGGATTCTGCAGCAGGGATTCTTCGGGGCCCCAAAAGCAGCATGAACCTTAGAGACAGCATGGAAGACTCATCTTCTACCCACTAGGCTGGAGGCCATGGACAAGTTCCTCCCCTCAGTTCTCATATCTGTAGTATTGGACCACTGCAGCCTTTATTCCACAATGGTGCCCGAGCACTGTTGGCTAGGTGCTGAGCGAAGCCCTGAACAGCCAGTACCTCCGTTGGAATGGCTCCTCTCCCCATTCAACAAGTGAAGACATTGAGACTAACTAGCCTTGGGTAAGTAAAAAGAGGAGCGATTTGAACCTGGTTCACTGAGAGCCCTGGGCTGTAGAAAGTTTCCCCACCCTTAAGTGCTTGGCACAGGCCTTCAGTGGGTACTTCTGGAATCAGAAGCTGAAATGAGGATGGATTTGCATAAATTATGACTCCCTAAAAATGCACTGTCTCTATTGCTAGTAAGAGGGTCTTCCCCCAGGGTAGCCAACTGCCCTTTGGTTTCATCACAGGCCTTCTGGAAGGTTGACATCACCTTGAGCCACCAGAAGAAATTGGCTGTTGCCTCACTGGAATTTTTCCCAGTGGAACCAGCTGAACTGCCTGAGGGCTCTCAAAGCAGGGGATGCCACCAGCTTGGAGAGCAGGAGGGCACCTGGGAGAACCATACCACCAGGGATAAAGCAGGGAGGGGGAAGTCAGAGGTTGGGATGGGATAGGGTGCCAGTGGGAGAGACATGATCCTCACACCAGCCCCACAGAGGCCAAGGAGAGAGGAGGGGGCTCTCAAGTGGCTGGCTGTCCTCTCTGCCACCCAGAGCCACCTGAACTCCTGGCTAATGGTCTCACCAAGTACCCCACTTCCCATGGTCACAGATTTAACTCATCTTAACTACTTCTCCTTCAAGGTTGGCACTTGCACAACACTGAGAGTGAGTGGCTCCTGACACGTGACACCTTTGGTGGCTCATCTACCTTAACTAGTCCCTGCCCTGCATCTTACTCATCTGGCCAGTCATTACATGCCACCAGATCTGCTTCTGAGAGTGGCTCACACCACTCCCTCTGCTGATTTCACTGCAATCCTCACTGCTTGCCTGACCACTGCCATGGGCTTCCCCACTGCCTCAGTTTCCCCTTCCACACATTTTCCACATGACATCTGGGGGAATCCTCCAAAAACACAAGTCTGAATGGACGATTCTCTGTCTCAGTCTATTCAATGGGCCTCTATTCCTGCAGAGGGAAATCCAAGTACTGTAGCAGTTATGGGTCCAATGGGCTGCCCAGCCCCCCAGTCTCCTGACCACTCCCCACATATACCCTGTACTCCAGATTTACCCAAAGAATTCCAACTCTCTCAGTGTGCTGTGGCATTTCACATTTCACAGGCTCTTCCCACTCCACGTCCACATGGAAAACTGCTACTTATCTTATAAGAGCATCTTAGGAAATTTTTCCTTATCCCCTTGAAGCTGCTCTTTCACTGGGTGCTGGTGGCTCATGCCTATAATTCTAGCTACTCAGGAAGCAGAGACTAGGAGGAACACAGTTTGAAGCCAACCTGGGCAAACAGTTCCATGAGACCCTATCTTTTTTTTTTTTTTCCCTCAGTACTGGGGTTTGAACTCAGGGCCTACACCTTGAGCCACTCCACCAGCCCTTTTTTGTGATGGGTTTTTTCAAGATAGAGAACTATTTGCCCAGGGCTGGCTTTGAATCATAATCCTCTAGCTGAGTAGCTAGAATTATAGGTGTGAGCCACCAATGCCCAGCTGGGAGACCCTATCTTGAAAACATTCATCACAAAAAGGGACTGATTAGTAAGAGTGCCTTTCTAGCAAGCATGAGGCCCTGAGTTCAAATTCCAGTGCTGCCAAAAAAAAAAAAAAAAAGCATCTCTTTCAGGCCTCCTCGACACACAGACATATTTCCCCCATAACAGAGCCATTATTTGTCTACATCCTGTCTTCCCTGTGAACTCCTCTAAGTCAGGAAGCACGTCTTACTCATCAGAGTCCCTGGGACTTAGCACAGTGGTTGACACAAAGCAAGTGCTCAATAAACACAAATGGAATCCTTGGAGTAGTTCCAGAAGAGTTCCATATACTTCCTTTGGGCTCTCTTATCCAGAACAAGCCTGGGCCCTATCCCAGCTTCTCCTCCCTTGACTGATCAACCCACACTCCCTGTCACAGGGTCTGGGCACCCTGGAGACTTGGCAGGAGGGGAGGATATGAGATAGAGGAGAGAAAGTACACGGACAAACCTGCTCCCAAATCTGGGACACACTTGGCCACTTCAGCCCTGAGTCTGCATTTCCCTCAGAATTTTTTTTTTTTTTTTTTTTTGCAGTATTTGGGCTTGAACTCAGGGCCTACACCTTCAGCCACTCCACCAGCCCTTTTTTTGTGATGGAATTTTTCTAGATAGGGTCTCTCAAACTGTTTGCCTGGGCTGGTTTAGAACCATGATCCTCCTGATTGCTGCCTCCTGAGTAGCTAGGATTACAGGCATGAGCCACCAGGGCCCAGTTTCTTTAGCATTTTATGTGACACTAACATTCTTTACTCTTCACCACTAATAAAGACACAGTTCTCAAATTTTGTGATGTATCAGAATCACCTGGGAAGCTTTTACACTATCCTGATCTATTGTCAGAACCTACATTGTATCTAGAAGTGATGTGTGCACAGTTAACATCTGGAAAGGACTGTCTGAAGGCACAAGCTATTGACACTATAATTTTTCTAACGAAAGCTCAATGAGGTTAAGTAACCATCCAAGGTCACATCATGACCATTGAACTTGAATGGAGAATTCAGACCCAAGACTTCCTGGCTCTAAAGTCCAACACCTTTCTATTGCCCTGTTGCTATTACTGTGTTGAGCACTTCAGGAAGCAGAACCAGCTAAAGGAAAGTCCTCGTTTCCAGCAAGAGAAAAGTCATGTGTCTGACTCACCTCTGGGAGTTCTCTCAAAATTGGACAAAGTAGGTTACTGCAGCATGAGGGGAAGCAGCGGCCAGAACACTGTATGTTAACATTCTCCAGGCAAGGTTGTACTCAGAGGTTATTCAAAGTTATGTGGGGGTGGGGAGAGGGAGAAAGGGGAAGCACTTCCTCATGAAGGGGAAGTGGATTATGGAAAGGAAAGAGAAATAAACAGGCATTTCTCTGCATGGAAAAATGTTCAAGTGCTGGATGACAGACGGAGCTGTGATACAAATTATGCAAGGAAGGGCACACCAGTGAAACCTCTAGCCTCATTCATATTTCCAACCTTTCTAGGTGCTAAAGAACAAGAGAACTTCCAGGTCATGTGAGCTGACTTAAAAAAAAAAAAAAAAAAAGGCAGGTGAGCTTCAATTACAGCTTTCCATTTGGAGGAAAATGATTCTAACCCTGCTCATTAAATGATAGCTGTGGGCCATCAGTTATAAGCCAGAAAAAAAAGAGAAAGGGGGGAGGGGAGTAGTTCTCAACTGTTCCCAGAAGATACTGGCTTAAGATGCTGCCACAGCTAAAAACCCAATAGCAGCTAGCCAGGCACAACTGTGAAGGCTTTTTGGAAACAAAACAACAACAAAAAAAACATTATACCCTTGCACAGAACCATGATGCAGCTGAATCTGGAGTGCTGTGTATCACTCCCCACAGCATCTCCAGAGACTCACAGGAGAAAGGAGATCCAGAGAAGGGCAGAGAAGGCCCTCCCAGGGCTATTCTAAGAGATTCTGAAAAACAGGACTCTTCAGTCTGCAAAGACAAAAAAAGGTTAAAAGGATGCGCCTGGCAACAGTACAATCTAAAATGGCTGCAAGAAGAAAAGATCCAGATTTCCAATCAATGCTAATGCATAGATAAGAGCTTGCATACACCTTGAGTTTTGAAAGCAGCAGTTTTTGGATAAATAAAAGGAAGTTTACTGTGTATAGAAGAAAAGTGTGAAATTTGTTATCTCAGGAGTTAGTGCTGGATTAAATAGTTCACAGACAACTAAGAGATTCTAAAGACACACACTTTTAACAATTTATTGTCTCTCTTAGACATTTATTACTGTAATTTTAATAATGGTAGGGTGGATAATTTATAGTATATTTAATTATAAACACCCTTGCACATGTAATTTTTTCTTTTTTTTTTTTTAGCATACTGGGGTTTGAATTTAGTGCCTCATACTTGCTAGGCAGGTGTACTCTTACCACTCGAACGATTCTACCAGCCCTTTTTTTTGTGATGGTTTTTTTTTTAAGATAGACTATTTGCCCAGGCTGGTTTTGAACTGCCATCTTCCTGATCTCTGCATCCCAAGTAGCTAGGATTCCAGGCTCAAGTTATCTTTCTAATGGTTTAGATCACTTTAAACTACTGCCAGCAATAAATATTGGACCCACTTTTAGTATAGCATCACTGGCATGAAATATTATCACTATTTTAAAATTTTGTTATATTAATAGATATAAAATTGAGCCTCCCCATTTATT